GTCCTCCTCGATAGCTTGTCACTCCGGTTCAAATTGAAATGGCTGAATAGCTGACATTTTTCGCTCAGTTACCAAGAAGTTGTCAGAAATAGCGGATACAACCATTTTACGTCACTACAACAATGGCGACCTACGAGTGAAATATTTTCTTTTCTTTTTTTTTTTTTTTTTTTAAACAAAGACTTCTACAATGTTATTTATATCAAATTAATATAACGGACACTAATATTGATGATATAAGGCCTACAAGTCTTTATAGTCTGGGTTCCTTTTAAGGATGATGGTGGAAGAGGTGTGTCTGCCCACTTTGACGACATGGGGTCTGCCTGTCAGGAAGTCGAGGATCCACTTTCACAGTGTGGTGTTTAATATCAACTCCTTGAGCTTTTTGACAAGCTTGCTTTATCTGTGCGTCCCTCTTGTGCCCACTTCACCTCTGATGGCTCCAAAGTCACACTGCACCCAAATGTGGCATATTGGCTTAAGACCATCCCTTCAGCCTATAGCTCTATCACTATTGAGCTCTTGAGTTTTTGTCTCCCTCCATTTGCTTCCGGGGACCAGAGGAGGCTGCAGCCAATTGGCCATCACTGCACATTTTTGTTTGGGTTTACAGTTTGGATGTGACAGCCCCATCCATGGCTCATTCTGTCCNGACCAGAGGAGGCTGCAGCCAATTGGCCATCACTGCACATTTTTGTTTGGGTTTACAGTTTGGATGTGACAGCCCCATCCATGGCTCATTCTGTCCTTTCTCTTGGGTCTATGATGCATTAGAGTGCTGGAGGTTTGACTTCAGTTTGGTGGCTGCTCTTCAGGGCTTGATTATATGTCCCATATTCCATGTCCCTTCTCTGGCTTCTCTACTGTGCAAGTGGACAGGGGACGCGAAGGCGAGTGGCAAAAACATAAGTGGGGGACTGATCCTGCATGTGAACAATAAATGGTGTCATCCTGGACATATCACTGTGAAGGACAAGATCTGCTGTCAGGATATTGAACTGTTGGCAGTCGGTCTTAGACCGTATTATGTACCACGGCATTTTTCACACGTTGTCGCCATTATTATTTACATTCCACCGCGGGGAGCAACTGCAGTGGAGTGTGACGTAATTTATGAAACTGTTGCTAGGATTCAGACCCAGCATCCGAGTGCATTCATTGCAATAACAGGGGATTTTAACAACACTACTCTCTCCTCCTATCTGACTGGGTTTGTTCAGTATGTGGACTGTCCCACCAGGGAGGATAAGACACTAGATTTGATTTATGGAAATGCCAAGGATGCCTACAATGCCTCTGCCTTGTCACCTCTTGGCAGATCAGATCATAATCTAGTCTCTCTCCAGCCCACATACAAACCCTGTGTATTAAAGTTGCCTGTTACCACCCGCTCACTCAGGAAGTGGTCCCCAGAGACCAGTGAGTCTCTCAGGGACTGTTTTGAATGTACAGACTGGACTATACTACTGGAGTCACGGGACAACATGGACAGTAGGGTGGATATTCTAACAGAATATATAAACTTCTGTAGGGACACTGTGATGTCAGTTAAGACTGTGCACTGCTTCTCCAATAATAAATCCTGAGTTAACAATAATATCAAGCAAGAGTCACACAAAAATAATTGTTCAGTCATCTGCCCATCGCTACTCAGAAAACATTCAGACAGAAGTGCACCCTGTTGAATTGTCATGCTCATCATCGCTAGTCTGACCACATACATACACACACACACACACACACACACACACACACACACACACACACACGTACACACACACACGTCTATGTTCTTTTGAGAACCATGTTCTCTGAATCCTCTGTATGGACCACCACTTCCACTGGAGCTGGAATGGTGCAAAAAAAATGTTATCACCAGGTGGGAGTAGAGACTGAGAATATCACACAGACACACACTCACTCACACACACACACACACACACGCACACACACACGCACACACACAAACAAACAGGCTGAATGTTTGATTTGAAAATTGATCTTTCCACATCTAGAAATTGCTTTGCACATTATGTCATCACACAGATTATTTTATGACCTGCTGATGATTTTTTTTTCCATGCGTGACTTTCTCAGTTAAAGCTTGGTGACATTTATTAAGTGTGTGAAGTGCGACAAAAGTAACTGTGAAGATTGTTTCAACAGAAAATAAAGGCTTACGGGAGGTCACATCTGACATGTAACATGTGAAAAGAAATAGAGAAAATATTGCACTAAGGATGACTACGAGTCGTAGTCTACAACTACTCAGTTTTTCAAACATTCATACACAGTTGCACACTGAAGAGCAATTTTGGGTTCAGTATCTTGCCCAACAATATGAGCCAGGAATTGAACTATCGCCCTGCTGGTTAGTGGATGACCCACTCTATCTCCTGGGCCACTGCCAATCATGGACAAGAGGATGATTTTAATGTTTAATGAAAAAGAAAAACATGTAGCATTAATGTTATAGAGCAGCTACAGTGAAGAGCCAGATATTATGAAATGCTTTCACATTTATTCTAATAAAAAGGAGTGGCAAACAGAACAGTTTTAAGCCTTGATTTTTAAGAGAACAAGAGTTCTACGATGAAGAATTTCCAAGAGGAAAATGTAAAATTAAAAAACAAACTTTTTACGACTGTTTTGTTTTCCATGTGTTACTTGGTGAAATGTTTGTTTGTGAAGTGCTACAAGACTAACAGGGAAGATTGCTGCAACAGAAAATAAAGGTTTATGGGAAGTTACATCTGACAACATGTGACATGCAGAGGGATAGTACCAAACAGAGCATTTCTCTTGTTCTTCATTATGTTTTGTCTTACCAAAATATTTAAAGTAAAAGTCTAAGTGGTGTGGCTGATACTGCACTGATGCATATGCTGTATGTTTGTGTTCCATGCTTGTCTATTGCTGCCCTCTCTCTGGTTCAGCTGAATGAGAAGCATTACAACAGTCACTTGGGCACAAGCAGATGGGGCCGACAAGAGACTTTGTAAGCTTCCTGGACACGATGCATTCAGGTGTTTAAGGAATACATTGTTATGCTGAAATGCTTTGAATTGGGTGACTGTTTGTATTTGTAAAGATAATTCATTACATCCATCAGTAAAACAGTTAAAGGTCTGCTAACACCAAATGAACAGCACACAATTAGATGAAATGATTGATTAAACAACACAACAGACAGAGTACAGTCAAGCAAAACGTGTATTTGAGGAGTAAATATTCTCAGCCTAACTCAAACTGTCTTGACGTATAAGACAGAACACACTGTTCTGCTTATAGATCCATTGTAGCCCGTTACTTAGCCATGATGTGTTCATTCTTTATGTGGTCTATGGTAGGCCATTAGTATAATTTCTCGTATGTTTTATAGTAATAAATAATCCAGTGTCTCTGAAACTTTCTGCAATGTAGATATTCAGTTTCATCATTTCAATTTAAATGCAAATCTGTTTGTCAAGTTGTCATTTTTATATATTGTCTTCTACGTGTTTCCATCTGCATGTAAAAAAAAATAAAAATAAATAAATATTGTGAAGCCAACTTAGATATAATTATCTCGTCAGACCATTTCATCTTCTTTCTTGGAAATTTTAAATCAGTCTTCTCTCGGGTCCATCTTTCCTGCTACTTAACATTCTGTGTTTCAAAGTTAGTTTTGAGGGTTCACCTGTTCTTTCATTGGCTACAATTTCTGCCAAAGCTGATGCCCTGACACATCATCTCACCTCAAGCACCATAAATAAAATGTGTGACACTGCCACCTACTGAATAAAACTCATTTGCACGCCACAAGAATAAAGCATCACATGATTTTACTTCTGCAACTCATGCTGCCACACTCATTGAAATATAATGCTGTGCATTTCAGTAGCCATTCTACCATATTATTTGGTGTGCCTGATAAGATTATTAGATCAAAAGATCATGTCATTGTGTTCTGAGTCTCATCCTTTTTACTTTTACTTCAGCTGCCCTTACAAAGTACAAAGTATGTACTGTTAGTTGCAGTACGATTGTGACATACTTCTTTATAACATTGCACCCTGAACTTTTACTGTTTAGCTCATATATTCATTATATCTTGGAGATATATACAAAATGGCATTCGATGATCCATCATGTTATATTCACAGTAAAATTACCTATGCATTTATTTGTCAGTTATTTTCATAGTTGTGTCCTTTTGTTGTTGGTAATCTCTATGATTATTTTGTTCACTTAAACAATTAATAATTACAAGATGTTGTAGGAAGATAATGATGATAATAATGATCACTCAGACACCTCATGTGTAGACTTAACCAGTACTTTATTTTGGTGAAGAAGTTTGGTCACAGTGTACAGTTGACCTTAGTGACATCCAATGACAAATCAGCCAAATTACTTTTACACTGATATGTGTTTGTTTACTCTTCTATAGCACATGAAGTAAATGCAGACAAGTGCAAATTGTCACATTTGTGTGTATCATTTGTGGAAGATACATGTGTTTAATTTCTCAGTACAGCAGCTTCACATATTGTATTTAATGTTTCTTTTTCTTTTTTCTTTTTGTTTGTTTTTTTTTTAATAAAAAAAATGTAAAACAAGGACAGAAAGAAGCACCTCCCTCATGGAACACAGGATCATTGAAGCAACGCCTCTTTCTGTGATAACAGGAACCTCCTGTCCTCCATGAAACTGAGCTTACTTTGTTCTGAGTGACAAGTACTTGTTTTTCACACGAGATGAAAGAGACACAGTTCACTTTAAAGTTTTGTCCTCTAGTACTCGCCTATTTTTCTAACATAGCTACAGATACAGAGCATGCAGTAAATCAAGCAAAACATAGGTACCTACATTTATTTAAACTTCATTATGACAGTGAGTCATAAGGCACAGTTTACTTCTAAAGTGTTACAATCTTAATGCAAAATAATATTTTTCCCCACAGTAACTGAGTTTGATAAGAGACCCTGTATATTCACCGACATACTAAGAAGATTTAAGATGTAGATTATGATTTAAACCACATTTTCCCCACAGTTAAATCAATTAGGTTATATAAATCACAGATCAATATAAAATGATCACATGCAGTAGCTTCCTTCCACCATAGTATCAGTTAAAACAGAGCATGCAGATTTTCCCTTTATCACTTTTGTGAATATGAAGCTGTATTTGGCCAACAGCTGAGAGGCCTTCTGATATTCAAATGGCCACACTATTTTCTATGTTCTCTGGATCCAGGTATGTGTATGGGATCTTCAGACTCTTGTTTCTGATGTTGATGTGTGCGCTTAATGTTTGAAGCTCTCCTTGAAAAGCCTTTACGTAGTAGGAGGGAATCTCCTCACTGTGATGCTTCTCCAGAGACTTGCCAAGAGCGACCTGATGAAATAAATAACAGAATAAAAATGCATTTTATCAATAACATTAAAATGTTCCACAAAAATATACTATTGGTACTATAATGCACAGCTGTAAGTAGTGAGCAGGACTGTTTTTTTCAGTGACTCAAAGAGGGCATTTTGCTCTGATGACGTATTAACCTGTGATACAAAACTTGAACATAAATAGGATTTATACAGTCCCTGACAAAAGTCTTGTCGCTTATCCAAGTTGTAGGAACAACAAATTATAACTTGACTTGTAGTTGATCAATTGTAATCAGAAATGGCTTATATGAAAGGCAAAGGCCTCTAGATTAAGCTTATTATACCAAAATAAAGTTTTGCATCATTCACTGAGTTTTATCTTTTAATTAGGACAGAAAGGTCAGATCTTGCTTGGATAAAAGTCTTGTCGCATACAAAAATAATGTACTGTAGAAATTATACTTTATTTTGAATACACAAACATGCTCCAATAACATCAGAACATAAAGTCATGGTGCCTTGGGAAAAAGAATTAATATCGTGTATGACTCCCATGAGCTTGGAGGACTGCATCCATACGTCTCAGCAATGACTCAAATAACTTATTGATGAAGTCATCTGGAATGGCAAAGAAAGCAGTCTTGCAGGACTCCCAGAGTTCATCAAGATTCTTTGGTTTCATCTTCCAAGCCCCCTCCTTCGTCTTACCGCAGACATGCTCAATAATGTTCATGTCTGGTGATCCGAATCCTGGAGCACCTTGACCTTCTTCACTTTCAGGAACTTTGATGTGGAGGCTGAAGTATGAGAAGGAGCACCATCCTGCTGAAGAATTTGCCCTCTCTTGTGGTTTGGAATGTAATGGGCAATGAGAACCTCTTGATACTTCAGGCTGTTGATGTTGCCATCCACTCTGCAGATCTCTTGCACACCCCCATACTGGATGTAACCCCAAACCATGATTTTTACTCCACCAAACTTGACTGTTTTCTGGGTGAATCTTGGGTCCATGCGGGTTCCAACAGGTCTTCTGCAGTATTTGCGGCGATTGGGATGCAGTTCAATGGATGATTCATCAGAAAAATCAACCTTCTGCCACTTTTCCACTGTCCATCCTTTCTGCAAGCTGTGGGCCTTGGCAAATGCAACATGATTCTTTTGTTGTCTTCTGTTTAATGCTGGTTTGTGAGCAGTAATTCGGCCATGGAGACCATTGCGTGAGAGAATTCGACAAACTGTTCTGGTAAATACAGGGGTTTCTGGTGACCAGTTCTGATGTATCTCTGCTGCAGTTGAAAAAGGGCTGGCCCTGGACTGCCGAAGCAACAAACGGTCCTCTCTAACAGTTGTCTTATGGGGTCTGCCTGACCTGGGCTTGTCATGAACGTCACCAGTTTCTTCAAATCTTTTTTTTATCCTCTCCACTTGACGTTTGGATACACTGAAGATGTCTGCCACCTCAGCAGCAGACTTGGTCTTCAGGCTCTTGATGATCAGCATTTTGGTCTGTGGTTGAATCTTTGGCATGTTGTCAGCGGTCAGGTTGCACTTCACATGAAGGTCTGGTGTGCTGGGGTTCTTTTTATACACACCTGGGAATGTGTTAATTAAGCAATACATCACGACAGGGACGAAAACCCCCTCAGCTGTGGTATAATGAGCGTATACCACGGCCTGAAGTGATGTATTGCTTTTATAAAACGGTTACCAATAGTGGAAATATGAAAGAGGATTACACAATCTATTTCATGTAGTTTTTATTTAATAAGAAATACATATTATCCAATAAAAATAGTCCCACTGTGGAAAAAAATAGTCCCACCTCTCCTGACGTTAGCTCTGTATGTCGTCTTTTCCTCGGCTTTTTCTCAGGAGAAAGTCACTGTTCAGTCCACTCTGCCGTTGTCAACCCTCCCTGGAGGTGAAAGTTAACCTTAAACATGTGAATTCAACTAATTTAGTCTATTTGTTAATGTCGTCAAAACACCGCCGCCAAGTTTTGCTACCTACTGTGGCCTAACAGTTGGTTGTTGTCATGGAAACATAGTTGCTTCTCTGACAATAATGACAATACTGAAGAGGAATACACAATCAAATTAATGTAGTTTTTATTCAATGAGAAATACATAGCCTATTATAAATAAATAAATATTTTAACCTTTTCGAATAAATAAATAAATAAATTAATAAATGAAAAATTACAGCTTTTACTCCATACCATTAGACTTACAGTTTATTTACATTCATTTCTGTAGTTTTTACTCCATAACATTAGACTTAGATTTCATTCATTCATTCATTCATCTTCTATTTGTAACCGCTCACAGTCATGATTTGTCTGGTGTCGAGGCCTGCATCAGACAGCTTTTGTATGGTGGTGCTGCGGATGCAGTGGTTGGTGTATCTCTGTTGTGTGCCAGCTTGCTTGCAGAGTCGGGGCAACATTGTTGCGAGGTGATTTATGCCCATCGGCTCTCGTGTAAACCTGAATGTTACCACACATATTTTAGTTGTCATATAAATTTACCTTTCATCTAAATATGCACTACGCATGATACACTTACCAAACTTTGTCAAACTCGCAGTTCACATTTTTTCTTGGATGTAGATAAAATGCTGGTGCGTCAGGAGGCAGGAGGGAGAGGTAGAGGGCAGAGAGGATCACCAGGCAGTTCGTACATAAATCCCCTTGTGCTCTCTCTGTTCCTTCCTTGTGGGTCGTTGTGGTTTTTAGTATGTTCGTTGAATGTCAGCGTTGCATATTTCAAACCGTTTTCGTCCGCTTTGATTATAAATGACGAGGGTTTGAGCCGACGATTTCCTTCGTTTCCTCTGCGCCCAAAGTGCAGCTGCGTATCAAACCAAACTTTATTAACCAAGCCCACTGGAGTGTTTGGATTCAGGACCCGCTTTATGGCGTTGAAGTCAGCATCTGTAATTGATGTGTGATGTACTGTAGTGTCAAGTCCTTTCTTCCTCAACATTTTCACAACGCCAGTGAACACATTATTAGACGTTGTGAACTCTGTGTCTTTGAGGAGGCACCAGGAGAGGCTGAGTGGGGGGTCGTTAACGTATCTGTTGAGTCCCGCGCGGAGACCGATGTAGCTGCTCAGTCCGTATAGTTCACCTTTGCAGTTTCTGACAGTGCCATAAAATTCTCTTAAAATGTCATTGAATTGTTGTTTAGACACTGTCTGAAAGTCTATGGCTGCACCTTTGTCTTGGCACCAGTCTTCAAAGCACTTCACTGCCCACTTGGTCTGTTTAACTGTATTGGCCTCACTTCTCGCCTTCTCCAGTTGGTCAACCTCTCCAGATGTCAGCTCCGCATGTCGTCTTTTGCTCGGCTTTTTTTTCGGAGACAGGCACTCCTCAATCCATTCATCCATCGTTAGCCCTCCCCGGAGATCAAAGTTAATCGTGAACATGCTTAATTGTTAATTGTTAACGCTGTCAAAAAATAAACGTAAAAACCAGCTACTTTTTGCTACCTGCTGTAACAGTTGGTTGTTGTCATGGATACATTGTTGCTTCCCTGACGCGGAATGATATGCTGTGATAAGGCTTTAGAATAGTAGCTGTGGTATACGCTCATTATATCACAGTTAACAACCAATCAGATTGCAGGATTTCACCTTTCCGTTTTATAATTACAGTATATGTCACAGGTGGAGCTCTAATCTGTGATTGGTTGAATCGTTTATTGACACAACAAGACTTTTGTCCAAGTAAAATCTGACCTTTCTGTCCCAGTTAAATGATAAAACTCAATGAATGACACACAACTTTATTTTGGTATAATAAGCATAATCTAAAGGCCTTTGCCTTTCATATAAGCTATTTCTGATTCCAATTGATCAGCTACAAGTCAGGTTATTATTTGTTGTTCCTACAACGAGGATAAGCGACAAGACTTTTGTCAGGGACTGTATCATTCACATCTCTTGAAGTTTTTTTCACTTACAAAGTCATAGGATGATTTGCTGAGTAACCACATGACGGCCATTCCATTAGCCGTTGTGCCCATGTCAGGTAATGTCTGCAGCATCGTGGCCTCGCTTGTTGTCCCCTTTGTTTTTGGTGGAGGAAGTTGCAGGGAGATGGGAGTGTTGGGCATCCAGCCTCCATAGTCATACTGCAAGGATTGAGTGATTGGCAGATAACTGATTAAGACTCACTCACAGCATATCACTGGTATCATGGTGATACAATTATTGTTCAAAATTAATTTAAAAGCTGCATGTTTTAGCCATGCTAGTGGCATGGCTCCATCGCGAGAGTCATGTCAGTCTGTCCACCACGTTGGTCCACACTGAAGTATTTCAACAACTACTGGATGTGTTGCCATGAAATTTAGATTGAAATTAAAATTTGTACAGACACTCATGGTCCCCAGAGAATGAATCCCAATGACTTTGGTGATCCCCTGCATATTTTGAAGATAACAGAGCACAATATGAATTAAAATTGTTATTTCTGATTATGCTAAGCAGTATTTATGCACATTCCTTTTTAACACTCTCTCTCTCTCTCTCTCTCTCTCTCTCTCTCTCTCTCTCACTCACTCACTCTCACACACACACACACACACACACACACACACACACGTATCTTTTCCAATGAAAATTTCCTTAAGTCATGCAAAAGACATTTTTCCAAACTAAGATTTGTAGTATAACCAACAGGATTGGTGTTTGAGGTGATTTTGGAGACTAGACTACTTTTGGAGATGGAAACTAGATTGTACGAGTGAAGTTATTGAATATATTTCCCAATGAAAATTGACCGAAATTATACAAAAGCCTTTATTCCAAACTAGGCATTGTAGTATAACCAACAGGAGACTGTTATGTGAAGTGATTTTGGAAATACTACTCTTTATAGAAGTTACTGAACATTTTTATAGTATCTCTTTTCAGTGCTGCACTTTGTACACAGTCTCTCTGCACTTGTCTCAGCTGCACATAGAGAGTAACATTATTTGTCCAGCTCAGATGATGAAAATTAGGTTGTAGCTCGTTGTCTACTTAACTAGGGTTGGAACAAGGTGTTGTTCATGTTTTAACAACGTTCTGCTTCCAAATGATTGACCCGGGAAGTTTGAATCTGTGAATATCTTTCCAGCTTTATCAAACTGCAGCAGGTGGCTGCTGTTCTTGTAATGTGTACCGTACTGACCTTCTTTGTATCAAAAATTTGTATTAAGCAATGTTTCAGTGTTAAAAACTACATCAAAGTCATTACACTCAATAAGTGTCTGACAATATTGGTCAGGGTCATAACTAATTGATCAAGGAATGGACTTTCAAGAAAGTAAAATTAAGAGCATGTCAGTTGGGCCTTGGGTATGAGGTAGTATGACTGAGTGATGGGGAGATGAGTTTATCAAAATTAGCTTTAGAAATACCTCTGTTTATGTTACCTAACCTCTCAGAAATTATAATAGGAACAGCAGGTGTGACCTTCAGGGATTTTTTTTCTTAAATAGGTGGATCTAGGCTGTTACGGTGTGGATTATATGTACAGACAGAACTGTCCACTACTAGTTTGTTGTTTTGATGATGTAGCTCAAAGCATCACTACCCTACCACCACAGTTATGACTACATTATATTGGTAATATGAGAAAGTAGGAATATTGTGTTGGGATATGGGAATGTGTGTGTGTGTGTGTGTGTGTGTGTGTGTGTGTGTGTGTGTGTCTGTGTCTGTGTCTGTGTCTGTCTGTCTCTTTTATGAGCTACTGTAAGAGAGCTGCAATAGTGATTGCAGTAGAATCATTCTTTTTCTCTCTTACTTGCTCACCAGGTAGATTGCATTTGTGCACCCACAGGAACCTACAAGTGGGAGGTTCTTGTGTTTTCTATGAAATATAAACCTGCCAATGCCACTGCCTACATGCAGACTCACAGACCTGCTAGTATGGCTGCATAGATAATTGATCATCCCTGTAAATTAAAAGGCTTCACCTGTCCAGTGTTCACAGCAGAGTGTTGTGCTGAGCAAGTGAAGATCACCATGGTGACAAACTTGACCAACTCTTTCACAGTGGTAAAGCTCTGTGGAATTCCTGAGAATTAGAGGAAATAAACTGCATTAATTAAAGTTGCCTAGATGATTTAAGTTTGAGTTATCTTTGCAATATGATCATGTTATATTAAATATTAATGTGCACATCTCTCATCATTAATATTGAGCTTTTCTTTTAAGCCCACCTGTGCCTTCTTGGGAAAGGAATCCGTGTTCAAAAATGTCCCCAATCCACTTCTGCAGGTCGTCGTCTTCCTTGACCGCATCATTATTCTTGTAGTAGAAGCCGAGCACTCCCTGCACATACCTTTGAGATATGTGGATAAGTACCAATGTAAAATAAATTTGTGGTTGATTTATGCATTTTTTCATACATACTGCAGTAGTAAAGCATAACTCTTTTGTGAGGCAATTGAATGTCCACAGTTTGTTGAGAGTTAGATAAGAAAATCGATACACCTCTCATATTTATGCATTAAATATAAAGCTACAGCTGGGTGGCAATTAGCTTAGCTTAGCATAAAGACTGCAAGTGGAGGGAAGTGATTAGCCTGGCTGGCTTCAGAGTTCTTATAGATGCCTACTAGCACCTCTAAATTTTAGAAATTGTAAGAACAAAAGCTAGCTCATAGGGCTTTAGGGAGGATAAGGGCTCTCTTAGGCCTTGTTCAGAATGTCAGCCAAAATCCGATTTTTAGCCAATCTAGATTGGAACCAGATGGCTCTTATGAAGTCTGAACAGTCATAAATGACATGAAATCTTTGAAATCTCTGATTTTTGCAAACCAGATCGAAACCACCTTTGGGAGGTAGTTTCAAATCGCATTTGGACAGATGCGTCTGAGTCTGAACAGCTCCTTATATGACTTCACACAATACACACTAGATGACGCCTCCGCTCTGACATCGTTGCCACAGCAACCTGTCAGATTGGTCATAATGTGGCCCAGTCTGAACAGAGCCAAATCCAATTTGGACACTTGCTAAAAACAGTGTGGACAGTCAGCAGTCAAAAATCGGATTTGAGAAGGAATCAGATTTGAATCAGATTGGCCTGCAGTCTGAACGCAGCCTTATACTCCTATATCAGGAAACCATGTTGTGTATTATCACTTGTTCAAACAGCAAATTGTCTTTGCATAAACAATATGTATTGTATCCCTAATTCTAACAGCCGCTCTGTACGGTAAATTGGTTGACGTGCATTTCCAGTATACTGGAAAAAAAACAGCCTCAGTCAACTGTAAGTCATCTCCTGATCAGTAGTTGCAAAATCAGTGTAGGCTCTCTCTATAGGATGGCCCAGCAGCAAGGCATTATTTACAAGAGCACAAAGCACAATTTGGGGAAGAACTCAGTGGAATAAAATAAAATCTCTAATTCTACATTTGTATTCTCAAGGTGCTTTCCTGGTAAAGACTTCCTCTCCCTGCTGGAGCAATCTCTTTAACACAGATCTGATGCCTCTGTGCTGGCCTGCTGATCTGTCCTGTCTTCATTAGTATCATTAGTTGTATGTGATTCACTTGGATGCTTGGTTTCTAGCAAACAGCTACATTAATTGTATTTCATGACTTTTTTCCCTCAAAGCAAATCCTGTACTGAAATCTAACCCTAACTCTAATCTGAGACACACACTGTGCAAATCATGGTCATTTTCCACCCTGGTGTACTTAGGGCCTCTAACTGAATTCTAACAAACCCTGATATGGTGTAGGTCTTTACAGTGTTTAACATGGCAGCTACATGTCACTAAAACATACATGTCCAACATTATATTTATTAACAGAATGCAGAATCGAAACTGACTGTAATACCTGTGGATGATATCCCAAAGCTTGAGTCCATCATCCCTGTAGTAGAAGTTCGGCACTTCCTTCAGCCCACGCTCAGCGATGTCCTCTGGTATGCAGAGAGAGCTGTAGGTCACTGAGGACAGTGATCTCTTCAGGAGTGTCACCAAACCCTCTCCACCAGAAGCTGCAAACTAGTAGACAGTCAAATATGTCAGGAGTATAGTTAGAGATAAATACTGTGCATGATGTTGAAAACAAACATTGTTTAGGTGAAGGTCTACTGAGTGTTGGTCTTTTTGTACCTTTGTGAAAACTCCAGTTTTAGAAATTAGTTTAGCTCTCGCCAAGAAGTTGATATGCAGAGTGTATCGAGTGTGAGGTACAAGGACCTGAGAGAATGAGGGAACTCTATTAGTAACACTATTACATGTTAACCAAGTCAGTAATCTTGATGCTTCTATACTCTTTAACAGTGAGAAATAATAGAATATTTACACACTAAAACACTATGATTCTTCAACTTTGGATTATACAAAAATCAGCAAGCAGGAAAAACTACAACTACAGTAAGTACCTTGAACAGTGAATGTGTCCTGGGCACATTGCGCAGCAGTGACACTGCAAACACTTCAGCCAGCAGATGAGTGCGCAGCAGGTGGACATTGAGTTCGTGCTCGTTGAAATCTGCACTTCTCACAAAAATCTTGGCCGTCAACCAGTCGTACTCAGAATCAGTAGGGAGGAAGATGGGGTTGTCTTCTGCTGGAGTCTGCTTCAGCTGCAGGAGAAGGAAGGAGGTGTGGTTCATTCAATCCAGTATATCCAATACCAGTACTGGTCAATAATATTTACGAATTTTCTGTAATTGAATTTGTGCCTATTTACTACAGGTTTCATCTACTTCTCAGTCAGATATTCTGTTAATACTTTGTTGAGAAATTGTGTATTTCATTAAATTCCAGGTCAGAGCGCAGGATCAGCTTGAGAAGATGAGCTCTACATGTGAGCCCTACATATGAAAATAAAATTGATTTAACTTGTTAGCATCAGGCTCTATTATCAGCCTTTCAAACTTAGATACAACAATGGGGAGAATTATTTAATGACTAAAGCTCAGGCTGGAAGAAATGAGCAGCATTTCCCTATGGAGAGAATTCATAGCTGTCATCTAGACACTAGCCATGGGACCTGATACTTGCATAGATCACAGTATCTTGCTTAAAGAACACTTTCAGTGAGGTGGATGCTTCCTGTTTTAGGGAAAGTCTCACCTGAATAGCAACTGGCATCAGCTTGTTATCAGGTGTTTTGTGGAGCAGGACGAGGGGAGCCATCAAGTACTGTTTCTTCCCATGGATGGTGTTTGCTTTCAGTCCATCCAAACGCTTGTAGTCACACAGGAATATGTTGCCATTCTGTTGTGGTGAGGAAATCATTTTACTCACGTGCATACAGTGTGGACATTACATATACTGACTAAACATGTAGTGTAAGATGCAGTCCCAAATGTAAAGCATCATGGGGCAAAACATGATCTTTTCTATTGCTAAGATCTATCAACGTCATGACAATCACCTCCATTTCATTTTCCAAGCTGAAATGACCACTGGGGAAGACCATGTCGTCAGTGACAGGAAAGTTATCAGGCAGAGCTGAACAGCGTCGGATCAACATGGGGTTGACGCCGTTTAGAAACTGGTAGGCAAAAAGAGCATCCTCCTTCCAATGTTCCTGGACATAGTCTGGAAAAATAACAAAGTTGAACTGAGTTTCAAGCTAGAAAATCGTACTGTTATCAGCTTAACTGTACCTGTACACTACATGTAAAAGTTAAAGTGAATCAGACATGATATTGATTATATCCAATTCAATACAATTACTCATCAATAAAAAACTGAAAACATAATAGTAAACTACAAAATGCATGGACGCTTACAGTTGCCTCTCTGTCAGCTCCACTAAATTTGTGTCAAAATTGTGCTAAATTTGGGCTCTTTTTCCACTTTGCAAGTCTTGATGGTGCCTTTTGTGGTATGTAAATTCTCCACCTGCCAGCTGCTAGCTAGCCTGGTTTTCAAATGTAAACATCAATAAACATAAGAAAAATAACCACCAGCTGAAATCACATCCTGCTTGCTGGACAGATGTTGGGAATAAACTGGATGACTTCCGTGCTGCATCAGTTTCCAACATGATATCAGCAACTCTAATGTCCTTTGATTCACAGAAACTTGGGTAATCCTGGACAGTGCCATTTAATTGTTACCATGCTTTATGATGAATAATGATCAATGTGTCAGTGGGACTCTGAGCTGCTGTCCCAGTCCTGCTGAGGATCACTGCTGTCTGAGTTCGGGTGGAACAACAACACATCCCGGCTATGTTGTCAGGGTCATGACATGTGGACAGTTTAATCATTCCACAACCATGGATTACCAAAATCATCCAGAGACATAGACAATTATAAAGCAGCAGCCAACAACAGAAAAAGACGCAAACAAGGACTGCATTAGAATCACAAGTTCAAGGAGCTGATGAGACCACATTTCACTGGAGGTGTACCTTGTATAATTCCATGTCACAAATACATTTTCTTGTTCAAAATTTTCTAAAAAAAAAAAAAAAATCTCAAAAATTGACCTTCATTTTGATTTAAAGTGCACACCTGTACAGTTTCAAAAATTTATCTTACATGGTTGTGACACTATCATGTCACAAAATCTGTCCAAAGACAGACAAACAGATGTAGAAACACATGGTACTCAAAACTGCTTCTGCAGTAGTTTCCATGACAATAGGTGTCACTAGAATCACATTTTGCCATGATCTGCATATACGGCCCAGCTTTATGAAAAGACCATCTTCCCAGCAATGAAATACTTCTTTAAAACTTTAAGCATTTATTTGTTGTTGCTGCACATCTTCAGTAAGTATTTCATTGGAAAACAAGGCACCAGATAAACTAGCTAATTGTATCTATATTCTATGTAACCCTCAGAAAAAAGAAAGTTGAATCATTCATATACAAATAAGTTATTGTACCACAGACAGTGTTTGAGGGTACTGTTCTTACTGATGCATGGCCGTTACACACTACACACACAACTATTTGCTGTTGACCTTCATTAAATCACCCTAAAAACGACACCAGGCAGCTACAATACAGACCTCTACACACATCAGACTGGTAGGTCGTAACTCGATATTCTGCTTTTCTATTACTGAGATGTTTGGTTACCTGGGCTCATCTTCATCATCAGTTTGTAGAACCTGTTTAACCACGTTTAATGATGAGCTATGAGATCAGTGATGTGATTGGCTGAGAGAGTATTTACTGTAATAATCACTACACCCACTGATCTAGACTAAATTCACCTTCATCAAGCCCTTTGCATGTTTAGTCACAGCATAAGATGTTCATAGAGACTCAAAATATTTTTCTGGAGAACACAAAAGTTTTAGTAAAGATCACAAAAGTCTCTCTGGAGAATACCAGAGTATTTATCTTTTTTCACCCATCTATATTTTCTCTTCCATCTTTTTTAACAATCATCTTTTTTTCCTCCCCCATCTTTTTTTTTACCCATCTATGTTTTTTCTCTCCCATGTCACCTTAGGGGCTCTGTAAGTTACGATATGAGGATGTTTGTTAACCTTACAACAATATATTTGCAGTATTTATATTTACAGTATATTAGGGCCATTGTAGGTTTAAAACAAGCCAACATTACCTTACATGGGACACAAACCCCAGTCTCCTGTGTGAAAGTTCTGTACTTAACCAGGTCATTCTCTCCATTTTTCTCACCTTATGGCCCAAATGTGCTGTTGTATTCTTCTCCTTGTTTACCTGATTTTAGAAAACTTTTTGACCTGGTGCTTTCCTATGGTTTGTGTGAGGAAGATTTGAATTTGGTTAATGTTGCGGTTTCTGATCATAGGACAGTGCTCTTCCAGGTTCCACTCCTCTCGCCTGACCCCATACCCACCACACTGATTTGCTCCTGCCTCCTAAATTCACTCTCTGTTCCACTTTTCTGCCAAGCTTTTAGATACAGGGGCATACGCATAGAGGACCTTGTTAGTGTTAAGAATATTTAATTGTTTGTTTGCTCCAAATGACCTCAGTGTCCTAAGGAAGTAAACGCATTTTTGTACCTAATATAATCTGCACTCCAGGATAAAGCAGGATCTACGTATGTAGATATAAATATATATTTAAATGTAGAAACCTGTTCAACCTTTGTTAGCTGTTTGAAAAAACTATGTTGACATCAATGATGGATTGGTTCATCTCTTATCTGTTAAAACGGTCCCTCTCTGTTACACTTGGATATGCCCCCTGCTCGTGTCCCTCTCATTTGTGGGGTCCCCCAGGAGACTGTTTTAGGTCCCCTCTTATTTATTGTGTTCATACCTCTTGGGAGACTCTGGTGTTTATCCTATTATGCCTTACTGAAATTAAGAGTTGGATGTCCAAAACTTTTCCACAGTTGAGTGAATTAAAATCAGAAATAATTATAATAATTACATTTGACCCAAGAACTAGACGGATTGCCAAAAATGTATTCTGGGTGCCTTATCTAATAATGTTAAATTATCATCATCATCATCATCATCATCATTATTATTATTATTATTATTATTATTATTATTATCATTATCATTATTATTATTATACATACATTATCAAGTACATGACAATGATAGCATAGTACCTGATATGTCAGTCCGTTTGCACCAGAACACCCCCTTGATGTCATCAATATCAAGCCAGTTCTCTCTGGAATCAGCCAGACCTTTCAGGTACAGCTCAGCCAGCCTAGAAAATAAAAGCAAAAAGTAAGTTTACTTGGGTGATTCAAATTTGTTTGATAGGACATACACAGTCACATAGATATATAGATGTATGACAGAATTTGAGGACATTACCCAACAGCTGCAGTTATCTTAAACTCTGCCTTCTTGATGAAGGAGAACTGGACCTCAGAAGGCAGATCAGAGAGGTCTTCTGCCTTCATGCAGTGGGGTATTCCCTTTATATGCTCATGCCAGCTGGGAAAAAAATATTAAAAGTATTTAAAGGTATGCAAGCAGTACTTGACACATATTCATGTAATTAACATTGCAATTCTGCAACTTATAGTATAATAGATTTGAATATACCCTGGCATGTGTAACTACATTTTATATGGTAGGTAGTTTATCATTATATGTCGTGTATATAATCAACCAAAGGTGGTCGACGTTTGGATGCACGTTAGTTTTGGGGTGCATAAAGTTAAAATGTGAATAAGCTCTGAGCTCTCACCGATAGTCTTTCTCTCGCTGTTTCCTGTCTGGTTCCCATCCAAAATTATAGTCAAGAGGCAGTATTTCAGTAGGTACTGTAGCAAGAAAGAACCAAAACATGTTTTATAGTTCTTTATACAGTATGTTGGAATTAATTTACTCCAGCCTCATTACAGTCCAGCTTTCAGAACTTCTTAACTGTCTTTACTGTCTTCTGTGGTCAGTGAACAGCGTACAGGATGTCAGACAAGCAAATTTGCACAAACCTTTTCCGTCACTGAAGCGGTGCACTTCACTGTCAGCGCTCCGGCAGTAGATGGAAAAGTTGTAGGTGTCTCCTGCAGGGGAAGAGAAACCAAAGTTTGGCTTTCGGATGGGCTGTTTGTCTGGCTCTATCAGGAACAGATATTCACAACATAGAACAAAGAGACAGTTAACAAATATGAGATATAAAAATAAATGAATCAGTATTGTGAGATCTTATAAGAGGCAGCATCATCACAAATTACTGAAGCAGTATAAGAGTAACACTCAAGGAACACCAACCCGGTCTCACTCCAAAGTCATTAAATACTGCCGCTTGAGCAGTGACTTCTGGCGTCAGACACTAACGAAAAAAGTCAGCATGATACGTCACAGGGAAACACAGCGGGACAACAAAATTTAAGACAGCAAAAGTCCAAGTGGGGTGGGCAGGAGGGGTGGAGGATGGGTCCAACAACCAACAACTATCACTTCGGAGGACGGTGTCCGCTTCCCCAATGATTGTAAAGCCAAAACTTGTTCTTTTTTTCTAAACCCAATCACATGCATTTGTTGTTTAAAGGGAAAAAAAGTCAATTGATGGTGCTGTGCTGAAGTAGTGTGTTAATTTTGAAAGAGACTGTATGCAAACTGTGAAGTGAAGTGCATTGTGAAAACAGACAATGCATGTAACAAGCTTGAGTTGACACAGTGTCCCTGAACGTCAACAACCAATGCACCCAGGGTAGCTTGCATGTCATATGTGGAGGTGGAAAGTTCATGACCAAACATCGATATGTGACAAGGTCAGACTGAGATTGTATTGAGCACACAGACAGTACGTAACAGCATTATTAAAAAAGGTACTGGAAAAGCAGATAATCCTAATTACTCTGTAAAAGAAAACAATGTAATTATAACTAAAGCAAAAGAAATTGCCGATAAATGTGATGTATATTTCGTAAACACTGGAAAGAATTTTGCAAATGATATTGTGGATTCAAGAAATAAGGATGGTGTAGATCCTTATTAGGGGTGTTGATGTAAAGGAAATACTTGATATTGTTTAATAAAAAGTCCACTGATTTGACTGACACTGATATGTTGTTGGTAAAAAAAAAATATTAGTGAGTATATTGTGAAAGCACTGACAAATAAATTTCACAAATTTAAAAATCATCAAAAAATGTTAAAATAGAAAGAGTGTATGAAAATGTATTATTTCTGGGTATGACAAGTAATCTTAAGCTATGTTAGAAACTCACTTTGATTGTAGAGTCCTAACTTGTATTTGTAGATGCAGCGTCAAACTGTGGTGTCTAACGGTTTGCCAAAACTTTGTTGAGGCCAAGTGAAAGTCCTTCTCCATAGCTTCCCTGAACTCCTCCCATACCCAAATTTTTGCTTTAGCGACCACCACAGCTGCAGCCGTTCTGGCCAACCGGTAGCTGTGTGCTGGTTCAAGTGACCCCTGGGCCAACTAGACCCAAAAGGCCTCCTTCTTCAGCCTGACGGCCTCCCTCACCGTCGGTGTCCACCAGTGGATTTTTAGGTTGCCGCCTGACAGGCCCTGACAACCTTCTGACCACAGCTCTTAGCAACCGCCCCCACGATGGAGGCTTTGAACATGGACCACTGTGATTCCATGCCCCCAAGATGGGAATTGAAGACCTCAGCCAGACATTCCCAGTTCACCCTCATTACACGTTTGGGTTTACCAGGTCTGTCCGGCGGCCTCCCCTGCCATCTTATCCAACTCCACAGGTGTTTCTAGCCCATTTTTGGGGGTGCTGAAGCACCCCTAAATTGAATCCCAGCACCCGTAAAATTTGAGAGATTTTTTTTATTATTATTGTATGTCCTTTTTTAACAAGTTAGAAAAGTGTCAAAACCATACAGTACTTGGTTGAAACATAATATTTTAACAACAAAAATACAGCAGCACCCCCCCTTGCCTCAAAAATGGTTTGATCCACCCCATCCCTCCAACCTTTCCCAGACTCGGGCTTTGAGCGCTCTATCTGCACAGAGCAATGCGCTGCCTTCCAGAGTGGGTGACATGTGGCACATTTCTTAACTTCTACCACTCAGTACCAACACATTATTATCATTAACAGTCCTCATTTTTGCTGCATTTAATCGTAGGTCACTGTTTATGTTGTTAGCTAGGAGTTAGCTGACGTTTTTTCTAGCTAGGAAACGTTACAGGTGGTCAGTACCACTGTCGTCTGTTTGAATTGGAATGAGAGAAACTAGCTGTTGTGTCATGTGCATGTGTTAATATTAAAGCCAAGGTGCTACTGACTAGCTAATTGACTGGATGCCCATTAACATTATAACTCCTATTGTGCGTGTGTACAGACAGACAGACAGCCTCATCATGGATATATAGATTAGATTGTTTTTTCAGAAAAAAACAGGTAAGAGTGTAAGATCAAATGGTCTTTCTATCTAGAATGATGTTGTAAGTTGGATCAATGTATCAGTTTATATCTCTTATTAGATATAAAACACATCGTTTGGTTATTTGCCTTTTGGTTGACAGTACAAAGAGAGAGAGAGAGAGAGAGGAGCAGAGAGAGGACTTTATTTATTAGTATTCTTATTAGTATGTTTGGTACTCACTATAGGGGGCAGGTTTACTCCAGAAACATACATACTGTGTGTGTATGTTGAGGAGCTGCTGTATCAAAATGAGTTGTCTTCCCCCAGAAATTAGGGTTACGATATGTTTCTTTTATGATTCCAATCCATTCCTCTTTTGCTGTGGCTCAGCAATTAAATAACCTTTATCAGATTTGATGGTTTAGTCACAGACTTTCCCAAAAAGTGTTGTGCTTTTCTTTCACAAATGTGGGAATGAAATTGCATTAAAATGTACAAAACAGTGAAATTTATCTTGCCTGGCTGGGCAGCTCTCTGGGTGCTCAGCACCCCTAAACCTCTGATCCTAGAATTGCCCCCTGTCCAACTCACCACCAGGTGGTGATCAGTTGACAGCTCTGTTCCTCTCTTCACTTGAGTGTCCATAACACACGGCCGCACATCTGCTGATATGACCACAAAGTTGATCATCGATCTTTGGCCTGGGGTGTTCTGGTACTAGGTACACTCATGAACCTCCCTGTGCTTGAACATGGTGTTTGTTATGGCCATTCCATGACTAGTACAGAAGTCCAATAACAAAACACAGCTCGGGTTTAGGTCAGGCAGGCCATTCCTCCCAATCATCCCCCTCCAGGTTTCTCTGTCATTGCCCACGTGACGTTGAAGTCTCCCAGAAGAACTATGGAATCTCCAACCGGCACCGCTTCCAGGACACCGCCAAGACACTCCAGGAAGGCTGTGTACTCTGTACTGTCGTTCAGTGCATACGCACAAACAGTCAGAGACCCACAGTTGTATAAAGGCGACCCTCTCAGTCTCCACAGAGAATCTTGTCTTTGTACTGTATTCAAATTAATATAGTCAAATAAGATTTTCAAATCTTTGCATTCTGCTTTCATTTACATCTTACACAGTGTTCCATCTTTTTCAGAATCAGGGTTGTACATGCTTTAAAATTTTGTGATTTAGTTCATCTTAAAACTTGACAGATATTGTACAAGCACAAAATCATTTGCTTCCTAACTAATCGAATGTGGTCTGAAATTTATGGAAGCACATCGCATTCACTGGATAAAAAAAAAAAAAATTAGACACCATATCTTTACGAGATTCTGATGTCGTAATTAGGAGATAAGATAATGAAAAGAAAAAGTTCTTGTTGCCTGTAAATCCTCGCTAAGCAGTGGGCAATGATGGGGCTATTGCAGTTAATCTACTATTACTACCTTCTCGGTTTGAGACACTGGGAAATACTGTACTACGAGGCTGAAGTTGGCTTCCGATTCACAGCTTCTGATTGGAATTTCTCGGTCCACCTTAAATGTCGCATAATGCCTGTAGATGGCTGTATTCAGTCATTTTCAAGCCAATTCATGAACTGAAAAATTGAACAAATACAGGGAAGATGAAATGAGAATGATCAGTAGAGTGCAACTGTCCTAAATTTTGAGCATTTTAACTGTAGCATATTTTTCTTATTGTCTTTACTCATGGTGAACTGCTTTTCAGTCTTGCTAATTCTGTCTATTTGCTGTGGTCTCGTTTGCTCTGTATTAAAAAGTCTTAAGAAGTTAACAAAGTTAAAAACATTAATTATTAATGTTTAATTATTAATTAATTTACTCCAACCTGCTGGTAATTTAGCTTACTGAAATTGTCTTTCTTTAATGTCGTCTGTGGTCAGTGAACAGTGTACAGGATGTCAGANCTGAAATTGTCTTTCTTTAATGTCGTCTGTGGTCAGTGAACAGTGTACAGGATGTCAGACAAGCAAATTTGCACAAACCTCTTCCCTTTCTGAAGCGGTGCACCTCCCTGTCAGTGTAGATGGAAAAGTTGTAGGTGTCTCCTGCAGGGGAAGAGAACCCAGTGTCTGGATTTTGGAACGGCTGTTTGTCTGGTTCTATCAGGAACAGATATTCACAACAGAACAAAAGAGGTAGTTAACAAATATGAGGTATTGTGAGATCTAATAAGAAGCAGCATTGTTACAAACCATTGGAGCAGTATAACAGTAACACTCAAGGAACATGGAGAGTGCTTAACAGCATAATTAGAAAGTGCACCGCAAAAGCAGACAAATCAAATATTATTTCACGAATGTTGGCAAATGAGATTTTGAATCACAAAAATAAGGATGATGTAGATGGAGAAACTGCCCATTAAAACTCCTACTCCATCTTTATTAGGGCTGTTGGTGAAAAGGACATACTTGACATTGATAAAGAAATTAACAATACGTCCACTGATTGGACTGAGGCAAATTATGATTTGTGATACTGGGCTTTATAAATAGAATTGAATTGAAATTAATATGTTGTTAGCAAAAATATTATTATTCATTTTTTGAAAGCACTGACAAATAAATTTAAGACATTTTAAAATCATTACATGATGGTGAAATAGAGTGTAGGAATTTTTTTTTGTCAGTATAAAAAAAAAGAACTCAAGAACTTAACAAGTGATGATTATGTTAGACACTGTCACTTTGTATTGTAGAGTCCTAACTTGTATTTGTAGATGCAGCGACGAACTGTGTTTACTGATGGTGGTTTTCCAAAGTGATCCTGAGCCCATGTAGTGATGTGCTCTATACAGTCGTGCCAATTTTCAAAGCAGCGCCGTCGTGGTTGATGGTCACAGGTTTTCAGTGTTTGTTTCTAGCTTTGCCGCTTACCTGCAGAGAAATTTCTGGATTCTCTGAAGCTTTTGATGATATTATGGCTTGTAGGTGATGAAATCCTAAAATTTTTGCAATCGTGCATTGAGGAAGGTTGTTCTCAAACTGTTGCGCTGTTTGCCCACAGTTTTTCACAGTGACAATCCTTGCTGATGAACAACTTAGCCTTTCTAGGATTCCCCTTTCATACTCAATAATGCTACTTTAATCTGTTATCAGTTAACCTGTTTACCTGTGGAATGTTCCAAATAGGTGTTTTGAGAGTATTTAGAAACTTTCCCAGTCTTTTGTTGCCCTCGTCCCAAATTTTTTGTTACATTTTTCAGGCATTGAACTCAGAATGAGTGTATATTCACAAAAAACAATAACCAAAGTTTATCAGTGTTAACACTAGCTTGTCTTTGTACTGTATTCAAGTGAATATATAGTCAAAAAGGATTTTCAAATCATTTTATTAATGTCTCACACATGTGGAATAGATGTGAAAAGGTATAAAGAATATGTACTTTACTTAAATATGAAAAAGTTTAAAAATAAGGTGGTAAACATATATAAAACTGACTATAACTGTGTATGTAATGCTTGGATCTTTACTTTTGTTTCTTTCGTTTTTGTATAGCCTAAACCAAGTAACTAGTGAAAGGGTTACTACTATTTAAAAGGGGCAAGGACAGTAAGCTTGACCTTAAGCCTACACCTTTTCCATCAATATTTCATGTTTTCCCTCTAACTTAATGGCTTAATGTTATTCATTCATTCTATGTGCATTCTTTTTGGAAAATTGATAAGAGGGACTGAAATAAATTACTACGACTACTCACAAGACAGTGCTGTGTTTGAGAGACTCCCAGAGCTTAAAGAAAGAACCTTAACACAGTTTAAAACATGTTGGATTTAATCTACTCCAGCCTGCTGAAAATGCAGTTTCCAGAGCTTGTCTTTCATATATGTCTTCTGTGATCAGTGAACAGTGTACAGGATGTCTGTCTGTTGAGTTGTGGTTTAATTTCACAACAGTTCCAAACAATGTGGATGCTTAGGGCAACGACATTATGAGGAAGGCCAGATGCTGCTCTGCAGGGAGGACAATTTGCATGTAACTGCCACATTAAAAGGTGAAGAGGGAGGAGGGGCTCGACTGAAAGTTGTCGGGTGTACAATACACCTTTAACTAAGAATTGATGCCATGGACCAAATTTTAAAAATTAATATAAAATAAAAATCTAAAACCATTGCTGTATTATTCAAAACTAAACTTATCTTGAACCAAAACTCAATATGTATACTGTCTTGTTCTCTCATAGTTTCATCTGTTACCTACTGTGTGGACTGGAGGTATGGACAAACACATTGTGACCAACACTATTTATTCACTTGTGAGTTGATCTTAAAATTTTAATGTCTAAAGCATAAAATAATTTTCCTGGTAATTGTATTTAGTGGTTGTTTGAAATTAGAGAGAGCCAATATGAATTTAGGGAAATAGGTAGACAAGGGTAAGGACACATCTAAATAATAAATTTATATTTGTCAAAAGAGCTTACTTGTGGAATGGATGCGGCAAGTCATGTAGTTCACTTTTAAAGATGTTTAAAAATCACATGGTAAACATATTAAAAAGTATGATTATTACTATTGTGTTTCAAATGTTTGGAACCTTATTTGTGTTGTGTTTTGTTTTCTTTTGTTTGTTTTTGCACGGCCAAAATCTAGTGACATGGTTGCTTAATAGTATATACTATGTCAAAAGAGTAAGTACAGTAATTTCAGCCTACAACTTTTCAGTCATTAATTTTTGTTTTCCTTTTCATTTTAATGCCTTGCTGTTATCTATTCTTTTTTATGTGCATTATTTTTGGGAAATTGCCAACATGGAACAAAATAAAAGTACTACTCCTGCTGAAAAGCACAATGCTATGTTTAAAACACTCCCAGAGTGTGAAGGAAGAACAACAACAAGGTTTTAACTTGTTTACAGTATGTTGGAATTAATTTACTCCAGCATCCTTATAATGCAGCTTGCAGGACTTGTCTTTCTTTTATCTCTTCTGTGGTCAGTTAACAACATACAGGATGTCAAACAAACACATTTCCACAAACCTATTCCCTCTCTGAAGCTGTGCACCTTGCTGTCAGTGATCCATTGGCAGATGAGAAACTTGAAGGTGTCTCCCTTGGGGGATTTCACTTCCACCTTGGTGGGAAACCACTTGTCTGGATTTTGGGAAGGCTGTTTGTCCAGCTTTATCATGACCAGCTTTCCAATGGAGACAGGGCAGGACACGGTAAAAGTAGACACCTGGAGTAAGGACAGAAATGGTTTGAAAACATTTATATGAGAGATAAAGTGTATCTGGTAACAAAGAACTGAGCAGTAACCCAATGCTTAACATACAATTACTGAATGTAGAAGGGTGGACAAAGTACAACTTGTGCAGTGTGCACAGTATGTACACTGCATAAATTATACTTTTTGGGGGATTTTTTGGAGCCTCGGTCATCTTTATGGCTGTAGGAGGTGCGCAGCAGCACATGTCGTGTCACAGCAAGTCTGAGTTGGCAAGAGTTTACATAACTTTCCCTAAAATTATACTTACAGTGCTTATAATCTGGTATAGGTAAAGTTGAGGATGCGTGTTATACATTTAAACACAGAGAGGGATATGTCAGACTTACTGTTCCTCTGATGAAGGATGACTCTCCCTTGGAGTCCATGAGCCTCGTGTGTTTTCTCTTACCATCCTTTCCCACCAGCTTAATGAAGACATGGTCACAAGTGCCGGCATCATCCAGATAGGAAGTGGACACGGTCACTTGATAATCAGCCATTTTCACTCTGGAAAACAGAAGAATCCTGGTGGGGCGAGAATAAAGATAACCAATCTCAGCACTGATTGTGTTAACTGTCACTAGATGAAGTGAAAAAAAACATAAAATACTGGTATCACAATGAACAAAGCCTCGGCAAAAAGGTATTATAACTACAAAAATCATAATATTTCTCTCACCTGTTAATGAGACCAAGAAGTTCCTTTGATGAACTGCTGTTTTCATAAAATAATCTTCACTGATTCCTCTTTTTCGGTTTTGTGGGAGCGTCTGGTCAGTTATAGTAAACAATCAGCACTTCTGATGAACTGTGGACATGTATTGCTGCACCTGTAAAACCACAGAGCTATGACACCGATAATGACAAACCAGTTCTCCCACTGTTGCATGTGAGAACATCACAGTCACTAATATTAGTTCCAGGTAAATGTTAAACCAACAGCAGAAAAAGTGTTGACCCATACAATTAATCCAAATTTATCTGATTGTTCATAATTGTACCATGAAAGTAAACTTTTTCTATAATGTGGAAAATACATACAGTAGAATACACAGTTACAGCCATCTAAAGTTGTCACTTCCAGCCAGAGGCTCGTTGTTTGCCAGCCAAGTGGCATCCAGTTTTCAGCCATTTTCCATTCACATATTTAAACAGCATAAACACTGATTGTACCCCACATTTCACCTTAGTGACTCTGAAGTTCAAGAAAAAAAACACCCTCAGACAGTATAGCTACTATCTATATTATGTATCGACTTGTTTGAGCTCTTCTTTTAAGTGAGATGTCAGCACTGAGTAGAAGATTCAGGATTAGAATCACAAGGTGAAAAACTGTTCTGAGCAGTGAGGAGGCTTAAGAGGCTTAAGAGTTCCTTAATCAGAGGAGAAAACAGTGGAAACACAAAGACGTCGGAGAATTATTCTCCGAACGCCTGGATGACGGTGAGTTAATGAAACGCTACAGATGAGATTGTGCATATTTATGATATTTGTGGCCGATCTCATTAGGGATACACACACATTTTCCACCTAACGCCATAACACGCCATAACGCCATAAAATTTGCCTTTCTGGCAGTACAGTTATATTGGATTGCAGGTGTACCTAAAAAAAGTGGCCACTGAGTGTATCAGCTGGCTCAAACAGAGAGGCTGACGTAAATCAAGATATTTATACTGGTCACAGAAAGCTCAGTTTATCAGTGCAGAGCTTCTACAGCATAGTTATGAAGGTATTTTTGTGTCTTTTTGTTGCAATCATATAAAAATCTTTTGAGAGCATATTTTTTGAACTGCATTTAAAAATCAAGCTTGTAAGTAAAAAACGTGTGATCATTTTGCTTATAAATCAGTCCCCTTTGCTTGCAAGTTAAAAACTTTGGCTTGGGGGTTTGGGGTGTGTTTGACGTGGCTCCATACAGGGCAGACTACACCCACGATTCCCTCTCTCCCACTGGAAACGCTCGACAGTCTGCATTGCTACATTGGCATCGATGGTACTGACCGTTTCGCCATCGAATAGTTCTGCCCTGGCTAAACAAAAGCAATCTACATGCACCAGTTCAAATAAAACATCCTTGCTATTATTAGGCCTAGTCCACACGGACCCGTGTATTTCTGAAACCGTGTATTATTCTGTGCGATTTGGCTGTTTGGCCATAGATAGGATAACCGCAGTATTTTTACTACCTGTCTCCATTGTTTGACGTCAGAGCGACGGTAAATAGCTATTTTCTAAAAGTTTACTACCTACTAAAATCCCACATCCTGTGTTAAATACAATGTATCTTAACTATATTTACAATGAAGCTTGATTCTGCACTCTGCACTTAGCCCGTATGTGAATGTTTACTGTTGCTATGGCAACGAGTGACAGCTGACGTTAGCGTTAGTTAGCTTAGCTCAATCGTCCGACAAACAATAACCCATAAAATTACAATTCAACATATTTAAACAAAATCAAAAACAGCTACCAACAGTTACAGTCCTTACAACCTTAGCTAATGTGTTGTCACAGGTAAGATTGTCAAAATTAAAGTAATAACAGCTTAAATCCCTGAGGAACTACACTAGCATTGGTGACGGTTGCATCCACTCGTATGCAGTTACCTTACATTACAGTTCCCTCAAACAGTATCACGAAGCACAATACAAACTATGTAAACAAATTATCTATTAAGGGTACTCTACTGATCAAATCTGAAGGTGCTTAGGTGACATTTACCCACCTGAAAGAATAAATGAAAACAAACGGTGGTTTTGTTGGTCTTGTACTCTAGGTGTAGCCTAACTGCCAGTTGAAGAACCAACCGTTTATATACCCAGATTTGCTCTCGGGCCTTTACTCAAATCAGTTCTGCTTTAAATTGAATGGGGGGTATCTGTATGCATACCTGTCAAGTTTTGGATTTGAAAATAAGGGAATTTTTTCACCGCCCGCCGTGAAACTGATACCAGTGAAAGTATCACAGTTCTGAGTAGTATCACGATACCATGGCAAAAATGAGGCAGATGTGCCTTTTGTAAATGTGCCTCATTTATAAAAAGATAAATCACTTTTCTATAATACATCACTGATATTTCAATGGAATAAATTACTTATTGACTTATTCATACTTCAAAAACAGCTTCAATAAGTGATTAACATGGGGGGGATCAAAATAAAATAAATAAATAAAATCAAAATCAACCAGCCACCCTCCTCCCCTGACAAGTAAAGAAAAGTCCCTTCATAAGTAAAGAACAGTCCTTAAAGTGCGGTGAGGTTTGTGGGCTGTTACCTGCCACAAGTGTGAACAGCTCGTTTCTCCTCTAACACGCCACATACCTGTGTGCGGCCACGGCTCGGCTGTCCAGGTACTACTGGGCAGTCATGACACCAACGAAAGAGGAAATTACTGGACCTGGAGTCGGACTTCTCTGTCGCTGGTAAGCCGTTATCTTGCACCGCAGAGCACTATGAGCCTCCGCCGTAATCCTGTCTGTGACCCCCATTCAACCCACAACCGGCAGGATTCGCCTTTCCTTTCTGCTGCTGGTTGAAACGTGATAATAGGGGCGCCCCAGCGCCCACTCCACTAACTTGACGTGGAAATGAGCGGTAGTCTAGAAAACTGGCGAGTTTTTTTTTTTTTTTTTTTTTTTTTGGAGGGTGCTCGTGCACCCTCACATAGATTGCGCCCTGGGCAGTCACCCACATTGCCTATAGTAAAACCCGTCCCTGGGTGTACAGGAAATCTAAAATAACCACTTGTCAACCAGACCCGCTGTCGACACTAACCTCGCGACAACTGCCACCCAGGCTACTGCAGGTGGCAGGCTCGTGAGGCTAGTGACAGAGTTCAGTTTGGAGAGGCAGAGGAACGGGAGATTTACGGGAAAATACTAATACGGGAGGACGGCGGGAAAGAGGGGTAAAATACAATAGTTTCCCGGCCAAAATGGGAGACTTGACAGCTATGTCTGTATGGTATCTGTATAGGTATCTGTAAAGATACAAAATCGATATCACATGCATAAAATAATGTCACAATTGATGTCACTGCTTTGGCATGTGTATTAGGCCTACATATCATATTTTTTTAATCACACCACTCCATCCATCCATCTTCTAACCACTTCATCCTCTTGAGGGTCGCAGGGGGGCTGGAGTCTATCCCAGCTGATATTGGGCGAGAGGCAGGGTACACCCTGGACAGGGAGACAGACAGAGACAGACAACTATTCACGCTCACATTCACACCTAGAGTTACCAGTTAACTTAATCCCCAATCTGCATGTCTTTGGACTGTGGGAGAAAGCCGGAGTGGCTGCATGCAAACTCCACACAGAACAGCTCCCACACTGGGGAGCTAACAACCACGCCACCGTGCCGCCCCATCACACCACTTGTGTGGACGAATTTTTTTTGGGAACCGGAGCCCAAAAAACTTTGGTTTCAGAATTGATTTTCGCCACAGCTACAGTAGTCCCATGTTGTTTTGCAAGTGCACTAGGCTGATGAATAGAATTTAAGAAACAGGCTAAATGACATGATGTTGCACACTCTTGTACAGTCGGTGGCAGTATGCACCTTTAAATTGTTTGCAATCCGCCAACCGAGAGAAGAAGAAGAAAAAAAATGCTTTGCAAGCTGTTATTCTGATTGAGACTGGCCAATAGAGACGTGTCTTACAGCTTTCAGTTTAGGCCCCGCCCACCAAGTTCAACTTTTTACTCGCAAAGCTTTTTGACTTGCAAACGGAAAAAAATGACTCGCAAACAAAACTTTAGGCTTTGCAAACAAAACTTTGCATTTTTTAATACTCTTTATTTAGGTTCATTAAAGTTCATACAAACATCACTTCTCCAAACAGAAAAAGAGGCAAAGTCACTTCTGTATGTATGTACCAACGCCCCCCCCCCCCCCCCCCCCCCCCCCCCCCCCCCCACCACACACACACACACACACACACACAAAAAAAGAGGAAAAGAAAAGAATGTATTAGATAAATATATAAATAGTATATCCATGTGCGTATACAAGTATACCACACATACCCCCATTATCTATACACAAAAATACACACAAAGAGAAAAAAAGGGAAAAAAAGCATATAGTAAGTTTGGTTCAGGGATTATCTTATAATGTACTGTTTATTCTTGTATAAAATTCATTTTCTGTAACTTCTCCCATCTCATATCAAACAGTTCAACTTGATTCCTAATACTATGATTTATTAATTCCATTTTATACATTTCATTAATTGTGTCCTTTTATTTATTTAGTTGTGGTGCTGCCGGTTTCAGTCCATTTTTGAGTGCTGCTCAAAATTCTAAAAAGATACTTGTCAGTATTTTGAGAGATCGACTGTGGTATTCTACCAAGTAGAAGTTGCTCAGGTCCCAAGACAGTCTCAAATCTTTTTTTGATTGCAAAACCTACTCTGATTGAATAATAAAGAAACAAATGTAGCTCCATACACAGAGCAACTGTGTCTGAAAAGAACAGTTGATTTAATCATTAATGAGGCTCAGCGTAAG